GACGGGGTTTCACCATGTTGACCAGGATGGTCTCGATCTCTTGACCTCGTGATCCACCCGCCTCAGCCTCCCAAAGTGCTGGGATTACAGGCGTGAGCCACCGCGCCCGTCCGCCTTTGTTATCCTTACTCTTTCGGCTTGGTATGATGGTTCACACCTATAATCCCAGCACTTTGAGAGGCCACGGCAGGAGGATTGCTTGAGCCCAGGAGTTCAGTACCAGCCTGGGCAACATAGTGAGCCCTCGTCTCTGTAAAAAATTTTTTAAAAATTATCCAGATATGATGATGCACACCTGTGGTCTCAGCTACTGAGGAGGCTGAGGTGGGAGGATCAATTGAGCCCCAGCAATTGAGGTTGCAGTGAGCTCTGATCATGCCCTTATACTCCAGCCTGGGTAACAGTGCAAGACCATCTCTCAAAAAAAAAAAAAAAAAAAATTACTCTTTCTCAGGTTTTGTCCTTTAGTGTTGCTAAAAGATATGCTGTTTGGGACTTGGGCTCTAAACAGGCTACTTGTAGAACAATGGGGCAAGAGGGAGTCAGGTTATTAGAACATGTTTAAAATCTTGAAAACCAGATGAGGCTGATGGAAAACCAAGACAGCTCAATGGATTGGTGATCAGTGAAGCAGAGTAGTCATAGTAGAGTAGTTGAATAGTTATCTTGAAAAATAGGAGAGTGGGGTGTCTGAATTAGTAATTTCATAATTGGGTTAGTTTTGATAACAAGATAGAAAACTGAGGAAGTAGATGACCCAGGTGGAGTGGAGGAGGAAGTCTTTAGAGATGGCATCAGTGAGCTCAGAGGCAGGGTACTGTATGATTGTCTCTGTGATTGTTGAAGTTTCTTGGGATAAGGCAAGATGACTTGGAGAGCAAGACTTAATGAACAACAAAGAGAGAGAAAGTATAATATTAAAGCTGGATGGAATGCATCTGAAGGGAACTGACTTTTTTTTTTTTTTTAAGAGAAAGATTCTCTCGCTGTCACCCAGGCTGGAGTGCAGTGGCATGATTGTAGCTCACTTGCAGCTCAAACTCCTGGGCTCAAGCAATCCTTCTGCCCCAGCCTCTCCAGTAGCTGGGACTCTGGGCTTGTGCCACCACGCCTGGGTAATTGTTAAAATTTTTCTGTAGAGATGAGGACTTCTTATGTTGCCCAGACAAGTCTTGGACTTTTCTAGACTCATAGTGGTACCACTGTGGTGGTCTTGGATAAGATCCTGGGGAATTCTCTGGATTACCAGGCAGAGACTTCTTTTTCTTTCCTTACTTTCTCCCAAGCAAATGGAGACTCTTTGTTTCTGGGCGGAGCTGTCTGGAGCTGGGGAAGGGGTGACACAAGCACCCCTGTGCCACCACCACTGGGACTGTCCTGGATCAGACTTGAAGACATCACAGCACTGGGTTTCCCTCAGGGCTCATGGTAACCACTACCCAGTTATTGCCTGTGTTGTTCAAGGCCCGAGGGCTCTACAGTAAGCAGGTGGCAAAGCCATCCGGACTGTGTTCCTCCTTTCATGGCAGTGAGTTTACCCCTGCCCTGCCTGGGTGCAGAGATGCCATCAGGGAGCCAGAGCCTGGAGGTGGAAACCTTAAGAACCTACCTGATGCCCTATTCTACTACAGCTAAGCTGGCATCCAAATCACAAGACAGAGCCCTTCCCACTCTTCCCTCCCCTTTCCCTGAGCAGAGGAGTCTCTCCCCATGGCCACCACTGCCCTAAGCTCATGACAGGTACTGTCTGGCTACCTGCAATGTTCACTTGGGGTCCAGGGGCTCTTCAGTCAGCTTGTGGTGAATGCTGCCAGTCCTAGGACTCTCCCTTCAGGGCAGCTGGCTCCCGTGTGGCCCAGGGCAGGTCCAGAGATGCCATCCAAGAGCCAAGGCCTGGGTGGGGATTCCAAGAACCTGCTTGGTGGTCTACCCAACCAGGGTCCAGCTGGTAACTAAGCTGCAAGACAAAGTCCCCTGTACTCTTCCCTCTTTTCTCAAACAGAAGGAGTCCCTCTCTGTAGCCACCATGGCTTGGAATGTGCTGGGTCACACTTGAAGCCAGCACATCTCTGAGTCTCACCTAAGGACCACGGCAAGTACTGCCTTGTTGCTGCTGCTAATTATTCAGGAACCAATGGCTCCTTAGTTAGCAGAGGATGAATCCCACCAGAACTGTGTTCTTTTCTTTAAGCCAGTGAGCTCCCTTCTGGCCTACGGTGTGTCTAGAAATGTCATCTAGGAGCTAGACTTAGCTGGTACCCTGTCCTGCTGTGGCTGAGCTGATATTCAAGATGCAAAACAAAGTCCTCTACTCTTCCCTCTACTGTCTTCAAGCAGAAGAAAGGAGTCTGTCCCAGAGCTGCAAGCTGTGCTGTCTGGGTTGGGGGAAGGGGTG